CCGGCGGCGGGGCGAGCTGCCCCCTGACCCTGCCCGAGGGCTCACCCCATGCTCACGCAGGTGCTGCGCCGAGGCACCTGCCCCATCTGATGCAGTCCCACCCCCCATCCCCTCCTGGCAGAGGCTGGTGCTGTGCACAGCTTTTATACCAAGATGGAGAGAAAAGGTAGAAACTCGGCTCCATAATGAGAGCCGAAGGGAAGCGATAAAGAAATAAAACAAAAAGCCACTGCCACCGCCTCCTCCCTGTGGCCAAGCCAGACTTGGGGCCACACTGGAGCCGCTAGCTCACCGGGAAGTACCTTGGCTGCAGCCAGGGAACCCACCCGAATCTCTTGCCCTTCTAAGAAACATCAGCAAAAGTGAATCCTTTCAGCCAGAGGGTTTCACAGCGCTTTTTCTGATGGTCTTTTTACCCAGCCACCCCTGCCCTTGTCGCTCAGACATCCCCGGAGCGGGGTTTGCTCAGGAAACACAAACGCCGGAGAAAGGAAACGTTCCCATTGAGTCTCCCCAGCGCACAGCCCCGTTGCGTGTCCCACCCCCGGCGCGGTGCTGGAGCTGGTACACGGGAGTCGGGTGCAGCCTCTGACAGGTCCCTGTGGCTCCACGCCAGGGGCTTCTCCTGCTGTTGCTGTAGCCCTGGCGAGAGCCCGCTGGGAGCAGTGGGGACGGGCACAGGGACATCGCTCCTGTGGCCAGAGCTGGGGACAGCCGCCACACAGGGGCTTGGCCCCTGCCAGCTCGGAGCAAAGGGAGAGGAAACTCTTTCTTGGGCAAGAGTTATTTTGGGGCTGCAGCGTCCTGCTGAGTCAACCAGGTCAGAACTCAAAGTTAAACTGCACCCGGGTTTCCTCGCAGCATAAAATGCTCTTTTTCTTTTCCCCCCCGAAAGCTCCGATCCTGCTATTGGGTGACAAACACAAGCCCAGCGCCCCCCGGCTTCACCCTAAACTGGCAGCTCCCCCGGTCCCAAGGCAGCTGTGGTGGGGTTCTGCCTGCCCACCACTCAAACCCGCTGGGTTTTTACGAGGTTTTGCTGCATTCTGGGTGACCCCAGGCTGGTTTTGCAAGCGAGAAGCAGCCCCCCAGCGCAGCCCCCTGGGGCGAAGGCACAGGCTGGCAGCGGCTGCAGCCGGGGTGAAGCACAGCCCTGGAGCTTGCAGAAAAATGGCAAAGGTGCTTCCCCTGCCCCCCCCGGGACAGCGGGGCCGCTGGGGCCGTGTGCCACCTCCCGCAGGAAAGAGGGGAACAGCTCCGTGCAAAAATAGAGCCCGTATTTTTTTAAAGCAGCCATGTTTGAAGAGCCCTGCTCAGGCGCCTGGGGCCCCGGGGGGACGCCATGGGTTTTGCAGGCAGGGAGGAGGAGGAGGCGGCGGCAGGCTCCCGTGGCTGCCCATCCCCACGGCAGTGCCAGGCTGGCCCTTGCCAAAAGGACAGGGTTAGCTCAGCCCAGCCTCCCTGAAAGTACAGCGAGGAGAAACTGTGTCACTCTTATGAGTTCATGAGTATTTTTGGTGACTCGCCTGGCATCCTGCCCACGCTGCGGGTGAAGGCTGGCGGGCTGTGGTCCCGGCAGGGGGAGTGGACCACAGCGGCACTGCTGCCCCAGCTGCCGGCCAGCTCACCATGGAGCCACGCTCGACCAGAGCTGGGCGTCACCGCTCCCCGGAGGAGCGGTGTTTGGAGCTGGCTCGGCGCAGGAGGCTTGGATGCAGCCTCTGCTCAGGGGCGCCGGCAGGGATCACACTGTCCTCAGCTCGAGTGCTGCGGCCACTGATGTAATCACTAATCGTGGATGTTTGCAGCAACGCCTGAGGCTGCACACCCGTAGCAGGGCTCCCACTGAGAGCACCCTGGCGATGGGGGCTCCAGCATTGGCAGCCGTGCTCTGCCGGGGCCCCCACACTGCGGCAGGACTTGGCAGCTCCGCTCCGAGCGGAGGCAGGAGTGGGTGCAGCTGAGGTGCTCCTGGGCTGGGGAGGAGACATGGCCCTGGGGTGGCCACCGGGGTAAGCACCCCCTCCGCTCTCTGGGCCCTGGGGCACCCGTCGGGTGAGTCCTTCCGTCCTGCCCCTTCCCAAAGAGCAAGAGACGTGGCCGAGCTTCCCACAGCTGGGCTGCTCTGTGCCCCCGATACCCGACAAACCAAACAGCAAACGGCCCTGGGTTGCGAAAGCCAAAGTCCGGGCAGCCACCACAGGGCGGAGGGCACGGGAGCACCGCGGGGTACTTGTGGGGCAGGTCCCTTTGGCGTAGCCCCCGTGGTGTGGGGCTCCCAGGGCGCCCGGAGCACTGGGAGAGCTGACGTGCTCCTTCTTGGCAGGGCCCTGCCCCATCGAGACATCAGGAACCAGGTCCCACTTTGCCGTGACCGACTTCCCGGAGGAGTCGGCCTGGAGCGCCGTGGTCCAGCAGCAGGACCCCCCATCGCGCTCCGCCCCCCCCCCAACGCCCGCGCCGGCCGCTACAGCCTGACACTGGAGACCTCCACCGGCTACCAGGGCACCAGCTGCCACATTGGGGACTTCATTCTGCTCTTTAACGCCTGGCACCCAGGTGAGACTTTCACCTTCCCGAGACTGGGGGTTCCCGGGTAAGGGGAGCACGAGCCGCCCCCAGCTCTGCCAGACCAGCACATCCCCACGGGTCTCACCCCACTGCAGGCCCTGGGCGCCCCAAGCCCTGCCCGGGGCTGAGCTCGGGTCTAATCAGAAATCCCCACTTTGCTTCCACCTCTGCATGGTCCCCACGGCAGGTCGGGGCCATGAGCACCATCCCCCACCCCAGAACACACACAGCCCCTTTGCCAGCACCCCAAACACCCCGTCCGGACTGCCCCCACCATGCAACGCCCCGCGGGAGCTCACCTCTGCAGCATTGGTGTGAAGCCCTGGGCAGCCCCCGGCAGCAGCTCCTGGTCAGGTGGCAGGCAGAGGAAAAGCCCCTAATTGCCTCTAATTAATTGCCCCCACCTGCCCCCGGGCACCCTGCTGCGGGCTCAGGGGCGAGCCCTGGGTGCTCCCAGGGATGTCACTGTCCTGGTGAAATTCGGGCAGCCCGACACAGAAGGGAGGATCGGTGCTGCAGGGTTTAACGATGCTGGGCAAACAACAGGTGGGATTTTCATCTCTCCACCTCCTTCCTCTGCTCCGAGGAGCAGCCTGGAGCTGCTCCCCTCCACCCAGCCAGACCTGGGCTGAAACGGCCCATTTCCTGAATCCCAAACCTTGGCGCTGGCTCCGCTGAGGTAAGGGGCTTTAGGAAGCTTCGCTTGCACGGGGCTGTGCCGAGCACTGGCACTGGGGATGTATGTGTTGGGTTTTTTTCTGAAAACATTTCCAGTAAATAGTGATTTTTCCAGCAGTAACTGCTGTGTGAGCAAAATGGCTTCAGCTGTGACCTCAGCCAGTGCTCCCGGTTCCCACTGCTCGCTTCTCCCACCAGGGAGGTTTCCCCTCCTGGGAAAAGACCCGACTCCATAAAACAAAAGGGAGGAAAGAAAGAGAGAAACAAGAAAGCATGGAAAAGAAAACCACAAGCCCACTGAAATTTTCCCATCAGCTCAAATCAAACTGGGTTGAAATTCTCCAGCAGCTTTTTCAGATGGGAGCAGTTCCATCCCTTGTTGCCTCATTTCCCACCAGACCCATCCCCGGTCACTGCCCGGCACGTCCCCAGGGAGAAGGGGGAAGCTCTGAGCAGGGCTGAGGGGTGCAGAGCAGAGCCCTGTCCCTGTCCCCATCTCTTGCTCTCTCCCCCCCAGAGGACACAGTCTTCCTCCGAGACGAGGATGAGCGCTGCGAGTACGTGCTGTCCCAGCAGGGGCTCATCTACCAGGGCACCCGCGACTACATCACCTCCACCCCCTGGAACTTTGGCCAGGTGAGCGGGGCACAGCCCCCTGGGACCCCCGGCCGAGCCCAGCCCAGCCCGTGCAGCCCTGGTGGTGCAGGTCATGGGGGTTGGTGCCACATGTGTCCCCCAAAACGTGCACCCCATATGCAGCCAGCATCTCGGGGAGGATCCAGCCCTGCCACGCAGCTGTGGGACGAACAAACTAAGATCTCATTTCCGAGAGGGAAACGTGCTGACTTCGAAGTGTGGCAGAGCGAGGGGAGCGTTCCTGCACGGCTCCTGGGGGTCCCAGGGCCACACACTCCTAATCGGGGTGGCCACGCTGCACTGGGAGCCGGCGCCTGATAATGCGCTCCCTGGCGCCATGCTGGCCAT